CATTACTAAAGCTAAAACCTAAAGAAATCATCACGGAACAGTTTTCTTTATCACTGTTTCAATAAAAACAAAGAAGGCATTGTGAAAACTCCCACTTTGAGAACATCTCAACACTTTATTCCATCTAAGCATGAATGTTTATGACAGACAGGCCCTATTAATCCAAAACGGTCTTTAGTGATATCAATTGTGAACTTTCTTAATATTAATTGTAAATTCAACTTATGTTCTCTTTAGAACAAAGATAGGATAGTTGGAGCTGAAACTGGTTAATAGCAACTTTCTGTTAACCTAGATAAGCATGTTGTTCTTATATCTAGTAAATATATATTTTATTTTATGTTACTCATAAAACAGTAAACCATAGGAACATTTTCCAGAATAGTAGTTAACTTTATATAACTTTTACTCTCTCTAGACTTTTCAAAACATCTTAATTCTAGGTGAAAATAAAACTAAATCTTTTTATTTCAATATAGCTACTTCATATACTCAGTAAATCTCTTTTTACTTTCCCTTAATGTTACTGTATGAAATATAATTAAGTACAATTCTTAGTTAATGACAAATACCATGAAATTCACAATGCAATGCAATGGTAACAATCAGTTCTCAAAACTTCTCATAAAAACCACAATGTCACGTAGCTGTATCCTACAAAAACTATGCTAAAAACAACAAATCATTGTTTCTTATTTATTTTCAATGTATTCACTCCAACTTCAGATCACTCATTGATCTTCTACTTCTTCTTTTTAAACTCACTCCTCCTTTCAGGCATCAGAGAAAAAAGCAAACAGACACACTGCTACTCTCACGGCTGATAAAACAAAGGGTCTCCTCTTCTACAGAATCAGAAAGAGTGGGAAATACTTTCACAGACAAATACAGACACACCCCGGCTGGAGCTCTCAGCCTTTTCAGGAGAAGGGGGCTTCTTTGAACAATTAACAACAAACTATGGTATACCAAAAACATTTAGCGCTTTATCACAGGCTCTACATTATATTACGGCCTGACAAAACATGGAAAACTCCACTTTTGTATGTAGTGAATTCACAGAGTTGCCAGGCAAGTTTTATCTTTTTAACTCCCTGAACTCAGATCGGGCTTATTAATCTCTTAATTACCGAACAGACCGGATGTGCACTTGGCTCGCAAAGCAAATCATATCCCCTCAGCCAAATGAATCTCTGAACCTTAAGACAATCATTAGGATCTTCTCTGGCAGAATTCACGACTACGAGGTCAGATACAGTGATTCCTCCAGCATAACATGTCCTTACGGCTAGCAAAGATCATATCCCCTCAGTCAAACCTTTAGCTTCTCAGGCAGACTACGAGGTCAGATACAGTGATCTCTCTAGTATAAACATTTATCAACATAAAACAAGACTTTTACGAATCAACAATGACAACCAGCAGACAGAACAATCAACAAACATATCTCAGCAATAGCTGTGCCTTAACTCCACTCCTCTGCTTTTTTTCTTAAATTTGGAAAAATAACCAATACAACTTCAAAAGTCAATTTCATTCCAAATACGTTCTGCTTACTGTGAGTCGGCATTTCTTCTGTGGAAGTCTCAAGTCTGGTTTCTCAATTCCTTGAGATTTTACCACAGCTTTCTATGTAGCTGCCTGATCAGGGTGAGTTGAGACCTCCAGAGAAGGAACACAGCAACCTCCAGCATTGGCAATCTTGGTAGGACCTCCAAAATGTTGTGGAGATCCAGCATAACACAACAGGAAAGAATGAAACAGAGAGGAATCAATAAAACACAAACACAGACATAGCTGATAAGTAATTATTATTTAGTTGTTGCAACAAACAAACAATAATGGGAAGTACATCACCTGCTGCCACAGCAGCCAATCGCGGAAATGCCCCCAAGAACAGAAGAAACACAGGGCTAGATATACTTTTCTAAATGACACACGAACATGTTCCCCAAACATGTTTAACGCACACACATTTTATCATGCAGCCAACCACACAAATGTCACATGTTTTTCTCTCTGAAAGCTATACCTGTATATGTTTAAACGTCATCATCTCATGACATCTTTAGGATTAGTTAACTAACAACGGTTAACTGTTTTTATAACCCGAGGCCTTCTCTGAACTTCCTATACCCTCGGTGTCAGCTCACTTAAAATGAATACATCTATTGATAATTCAGAACGACCATTGTCTCTCTAACTGTGTTTGACCCAACTCAGTAACACACATCATATGGAATACCATGTTATCATTAATGAATATCAGAAATACGCTGTATTAAACATTCTGCCATAACAATATCACCTGCGTATTCGTGCAGCGTGACACATTTCAACTTGAGTGTAAAGTTTGTGACGCTCTGTTACAAAAACCTGTCAGTGTTGAGATTGTGCTCCTGGGGTCTCTGACGGTCTGAGGGGAATCAGAGAGGAGAACAGAGCTCGACAGCAGCTCATATTAAATCAGTGTTATTAATGTTCCTGTATAAACCAGAGACTGTCTGTGGTGCTAACAATATAGTGACTGCTGTACTTATGACTTCATGAAGTTACTCTGAGTGCTGATGGAGCAGCTAATGTTAGCCGAGCTTTAATCAAACCAATCTCTTCAGGAAAAAAAAAGGAAAAAAAATGTTATGCTCGTTGTGTTGGAGACAGACCTGACAAAGCATTAACTCAGGCTTTTTACAAATCAGTATCATTCTGTTGTTATTTAGGCATCCTTTCCATATGTTTATTTCTATTAATTCGCAGCAGATTCTCTGCAAGTTGGGTTTATAGTGCACCAGGTTAATACAGCTGTGTGTGTAGATACAGGGAACATGTGCTCCTCTGGGTGATGAATCCAGACAGGATGCTCTTTGGTTTTATGATCATGTGAATTGTAAGCTATCTACCTGATCACAAGGGTATATATTATATAGACCTTTATTTAAAGATCAAACTAGAATTTGCCCCCTTGTTGTAACTTTGGTGAGAATCAGCCCCTCTGAAGTAAAGTGCTATAAAGGATGTGTTCATCTCCACAGAGGGAAGAGGAAAAGTCATGTTCCTGTGTCCAGCTGTGCTCTGTGTCAGGACGTCCTGAAGGATCCAGTCTCTACCAGCTGTGGACACTGCTTCTGCAGACAGTGCATCACCTCATACTGGGAGCAGCGCCCTCCATCAGGAGACTCCTCATGTCCCCAGTGTGGAGAAAGATCCAGAACCAGAGCTGGCCTGCAGACAGCCAGTCAGACCAGCTCTGTACGAGGTAAGAGGCCGAACTCATGCAGCGTCTTATTCCTCTTCCTGGTTCATTTTTTTTATTATTATTAGGTATTCTGTTGAAGAGCATAGACATTAAAATGTTTATAAAACATTTAAACTCAGTCTGTTTTTATTAGTTTTATTGTTATATTCTCAAAAGCATTTTCTGATTCTCTCCTGTTTCCTTCTCTTTCAGCAGAACGTGGTCTGCAGGAGGTTTTAGATGAACATAGGTTCAGTCTGAGGAGGAGATGTGAACGTGTGACTGAAGGAACTGATGAAAGTGAAACCCTCCTCAACAGGATCTTCACTGAGCTCTACATCACACAAGGACAGAGTGAAGAGGTTAATACCCAACATGAGGTGAGGCAGCTGGAGACGGCTTCCAAGAAGAAGCCCCTCCATGACACTCCAATCAAGTGCCAGGACATCTTTAAAGCCTCACCTGACCAACAGACTCACATCAGAGCGGTCCTGACCAATGGAGTCGCTGGAGTTGGAAAAACCTTCTCAGTGCAGAAGTTCACTCTGGACTGGGCCGTGGGTTTGGAAAACCAAGATGTCAGTCTGGTGATCCCGCTCTCCTTCAGGGAGCTGAACCTGATCAAAGGTGAGCAGTACAGTCTTCTCAGGCTGCTCCATGATTTCCATCCAACCTTACAGAAGGTCACAGCAGAGCAGCTGGCTGTCTGTAAAGTGCTGCTCATCTTTGACGGCCTGGATGAAAGCAGACTTTCTCTGGACTTCAGAAACAATGAGGTTGTGTCTGATGTCTCTCAGCAGTCCTCAGTCAACCTGCTGCTGACAAACCTCATCAGGGGGAAGCTGCTTCCCTCGGCTCTCGTCTGGATAACTTCTCGACCTGCAGCAGCCAATCAGATCCCTCCTGAGTGTGTGGACAGGGTAACAGAAGTACGAGGCTTCACTGACGCCCAGAAGGAGGAGTACTTCAGGAGGGGATCGAGTGATGAAGAATGGTCCAGCAGAATCATCTCTCACATCAAGAGCTCCAGGAGCCTCCACATCATGTGTCAGATCCCAGTCTTCTGCTGGATCACTGCTGCAGTTCTGGACCGCATGTTGACTACAGACCAGAGAGGAGAGCTGCCCAAGACCCTCACTGACATGTACTCACACTTCCTGCTGGTCCAGACAAAGAGGAAGAAGCAGAAGTATGAAGAGGGACATGAGACGAGTCCACAGCAGCTGACGGAGGCTGACAGGGAGGTTCTTCTGAAGCTGGGGAGGCTGGCGTTTGAACATCTGGAGAAAGGAGACATCATGTTCTACCAAGAAGACCTGGAGCGCTGTGGTCTTGACGTCACCGAGGCCTTGGTGCACTCAGGAGTTTGTACAGAGATCTTCAAAAGAGAGAGTGTGATCTTCAAGAAAACAGTCTACTGCTTTGTTCATCTGAGCATTCAGGAGTTTCTGGCTGCAGTCTACATGTTGCACTGTCACACCAACAGGAACACAGCGGTACTGAAGGACTTCCTGAAGAGTGACTGGGACGAAGACAACAGTGATAGCAGTGATGATAACAGTGATAGCAGTGATGATGATAACCAATCCCTGGATGTCTTCCTGCATGGAGACTATAACAACATGTTTAGCAGTGATCAGGGTTACCCATCCCTGGATGTCTTCCTAAAGAGCGCCATGAAGAAATCACTCAAAAGTAAAAATGGCCATCTGGACCTGTTTGTCCGCTTCCTCCACGGCCTCTCTCTGGAGTCCAACCAGAGACTCTTAGGAGGCCTGCTGGGTCGCACAGACAACAGACCAGAAATCATCCAGAGAGCCATCAGCAACCTGAAGGAGATGAACAGTTATTCCTCTCCTGACAGGAGCATCAACATCTTCCACTGTCTGACAGAGATGAACGACCACTCAGTACATCAGGAGATCACAGAGTTCCTGAAGTCAGAGAACAGATCAGAGAAGGAACTCTCTGAGATCCACTGCTCTGCTCTGGCCTACATGCTGCAGATGTCAGAAGAGGTTCTGGATGAGTTGGACCTGGATCAGTACAAAACATCAGATGAGGGAAAACAGAGACTGATTCCAGCTGTGAGGAACTGCAGGAAGGCTGTGTAAGTCCAGATGTGATTAACTTTATAAACTAATGTGGATCAGAAGTTTAATTATTCAAATAAACACTATAACATTTCTGCTGTTTAAATACTGAGAGCAAAATAAACCAACACTGTTCTTCTATTTATTTATAATAATAGTTAAACTGAACCGTGTCTCTCTTCATATTGAGTGATGGAGGTGACATGTCAAACACATGAAGGACTCTAGAGGTTTCTCAGCATGTGATCACACCACACAGCAGGACTTACAGTTATCAGTTATTATTACTTTCTAGTAGTTTCTTTATCATTAAACACACAAACGGTTTTATCACAATGTGTTAGAGTTTAAAATAAGATCTATATCATATCCCACCAATACCAGAGTTATGTCTTAATACTCATATACTGAGAACATCTGATGGTATTCAGTTTAAAATATTGAAACTTTATTGGTTTGTTAACTGTGTTTGTGTGCACAGTACATTTCCAGATGCTCAGAGAAGCCAAAACATCCATCATTCACATCTAAATATTAATTAACATTTAAATATGTACATCTCTAATATTGTCAAGTGATTTATTTAATTTCTGTTTCTTTTGGTAACAGTCAGTGACAGCAGGAGCACAGACCTGTGATCAGATCACACTGACAACACATTACACTCTATTATTATATATTATTAAAATGGACTAACAGCAAATCTCAATCAGAACATATGTCAAATATTTTTTTCATCAAATGCTTGAGGTCATTATGTTTCCTCTTTTTTTAACACATGTTGTAATATATGTGTTATTATAGACTTATTGGCTGTGGACTCTCAGAGACTCACTGTGAAGTCGTGGCCTCAGCTCTGAAGTCTGACCCCTCCCATCTGAGAGATCTGGACCTGAGTCTCAACTATCTGGAGGGTTCAGGAGTGAAGCGTCTGAGCTCTGGACTAAAGAGTCCAAACTGCAGACTGGAGGCTCTCAGGTTAGTTCACTGACTGAACTTCATCTGTTTGTGTTTATCATTTTCTGAATTTGAAAAAAATACATTAAAGTTATTTTTCCACTGTTGCTAATGACTGAATATTGATCAGAGTAACAAAGAGAAGGTGAATGTGTGAGGGAGAGTGTTTGAGCTTCCACAGACTCACTCTGTGCTCCAGGAGTCAGTGGAGATGCTGTCAGTACTGATGAGCTGTGAGGGAGATGAAGGAGCTGTTAAACATCTGATCAAAGTTAAAGTTCCAGATTATCAATGGATTGTTTCTACATCATCTCTGATATTAAAGGTCTCCTATCATGCAATAGTCACTTTCTGATGTCTTTTCTACATCAACACGTGTCCCCGGTGTGTCAGGAGACTCACAAAGTGTCAGGAAACAAAACCCTCTCTCTTTTCCTCCGTACCCACGTCTCTAAAAACGGGGGAACAACGGAGCTGATCCAGATTTGCTGCGTCATGACGGCATTACTAAATTGTGGGCGGGCTTTACACCAACGGGCCAATCAGAAACATTGCTGTCAGAAACAATGAGACGTGTTCTGGAAGTAATATGGTCTGTGTTTACATTAGCATGCTAACACTCAGAGCTAACCTGTACTGGAGAGAGCATGTGTGAAGAAGCAGGAAATAAGAAGTTACTCACCTTGTGGTAAACCTGAGAGAGAGAAAGAGTTTGAGCTCCATACTGTTTCAGAGATAATCCTTGATGTGGTTTGGAACATAATATGGAGTTTAATCACGGCAGCATTTAGCTGAGTTTCTGCTGGTAGAATTCTGATCAGGCATTAGCTCCACCTCCTTTTTTTTTTTTTCAAGCTAAGGACCCGAACCTGCTCTTCTCTAACAGCTGAAACAGAGGGACATGTGGGATTTCTAAAATGCATGATCTGTTTGGTATTCTGAGCAAAACACATCATAGACATGTTTTATATATTTGTATATATCTGAGACCCATAATATATGCCTAAAAATAGCATGATAGGAGACCTTTAAAACCCTGTTTAACTCTGAACAGATTATTAAACCTGGAGTTATTTCAAACAGGAACTTTGTTTTCTAAAGTTACATCATGTTTTCTTTATTCAGGCTGATGAGCTGCAGTTTGTCAGAGATCAGCTGTTCTGCTCTGATCTCAGCTCTGAAGTCCAACATCCATCTGAGAGAGCTGGACCTGAGTAACAACGCTCTGCAGGATTCAGATGTGAAGCTGCTGAGTGATCTTCTGAAGAGTCCAGACTGCAGACTGGAGACTCTCAGGTCAGTAAGGGGTCTCTGCTGGTTCAGCAGTATTGTATGAACCACAGGGAGGTGTTTCTCTCACTGGGGAAACAGATCAGTGATGTTACCCACTGACTGCAGGCTCTGTCATTCTTCCATCAACTATAGAAGGCCAGCTGAACATGCAAAGCCACACTTTAGTAATCAACTCTCTAACAGACATATGGGGTTTTACAGAAGAGTGGGAAAGGTAGTCTGTTCTTATGGGATGTTTTTAGTTTCTAGACCAGGGGTGTCCAAACTGCGGCCCGGGGGCCAAATGCGGCCCTCGGAATCGGCCCTCAGCAAATTCTGAAAGTATAATGGAATATGGCCCACAAAGGAAACTTCTGATTGTCTTATATTGTACTTCTTAAATATATATGTAAACATATATTACACAGTAGTATTCATGTGTTAATAAGCCCACCTTTCAGTCAATTAAAGCTGAAAACATTTTCTAACATATCTAACTTGATAAGAAAAAAGCCCAATAACTTATTTTTATAACAAGCGTGAAAGAAACCCTTCATATATCCTGTAATTATAATCAATCTGAAGCTCCTGTTTAAAGGAATGAGCTGCTAACAGAATAAAGTAAACTCTCTGGAGAGCTGAGAGCTGTTTTGTTTCTTAAAGCATCCTCAAGTAACAAGCATCCTTTACCTTCATTTGATTGAGGTTTCTGACTTATAACTGAACTTATGAGGCAGTAAACCTCTAGAGCAGGGGTAGGCAAGTAAGTTTGGCCGTGGGCCAATTTTTTGCTGAGCCACAAGATGGCGGGCCAGAACATAATCAAAGCCTAATTCAAGGAATTGATTTTGGTAAGAGGGCGCAGCGCCCCTGTTCCCCGGTTCAGAAAAAACTCTGATATCGCTGATAACCCTCCCCATCAACACTCTGATGCCCAGTCAGATCCGCTGATTGGTTCACTGATGATATAGGCGCCCAATCCAGAGCCTCTGGATAGACCCGCCCAAAGGGAGGATCGTCGTCTCTAGCCCCATTTCAGTCCCATGTTAAAAGTCAGGGCTATTATCTGTATTTTAACAGACTTATCTTTTAAATTGAGGTGCATTTATTGTTCTCTTCAAAGTAAAACATTTCTGAAATTTTAGGGAGGATGGTCCTCCCTTTCCTCAATGGACGAGCCTCCACTGAGTGAGTTATTAACTAGGTAGCAGTGTTATTTAACATACTTTTATTCTGATAAGTATTGTCAAGTTCTCTGGGTTTTTGGCATTTATTTGAGTGTTTGCCAACATTTGAGAGGCTTGAGGGGCAACAGAGGACGCATGGACAACTGGAATCCTTTTTCCTTTTCTTTATTTCAAAGGACACACATTAGGATTCTTTCAGGTTGAAAACCTTTAAAAAATACAAAATAAATAAATTACAGCATGTTTTGCTTTGCAATTTATTTAATATATTATAACCTAAATTAATCAGTAACCAAGTATTTTACTCAACTCAATGTATTTAATAGTTAAAGGGGACCTATCATGCAAAATGCACTTTTGTACGTCTTTTATACATGAATATGTGTCCCCGGTGTTCCAGGGAACTCACCAAGTGTCAGAAAACACAACCCTCTCTATTTTCCTCCATACCCAAATCTCTAAAAAAGGGGCTGCAACGGATCTGATAAAAACTGATCCAGATTTGAACACTGTCCTGACGTCAGGACGGTGGCGCTACGGCTATTGGGCCAACTCTCCACCAATCAGGGGAATGTGGGGTTGGGCCACGGCCGGCCATTGCCGCTCGAAAGCGCTGGAGACGCTGTAGTACATATGCCAGGCCTGTAAGTGGCGCTGTAGTCTGCCACAAAAGCAGCGAAGAAGACTTCCCGCGCATGGTTGCCATGGTTACCCTTCTGTTTATTCTCCGCTGTGGCTTTTGTTCTCCCTCCCCGAGCACTGTAATTCTCTCCGGTTAGTCCACCAGCAGATGACAAACACCCACCTCTCCGCCTCTTCCAAGGAACGACCGTGTGGCAGAGTTTCAGTTAGGTTTTCTTTCGCCGGTCAAGATGTCCGTTAAAGTTTAAATCTTCCGGACAAAATTAGAAAAGTGCCGGTCAAAGGTCTTCTTTGTTATTTATTGAGCTTTAAAACAAATGAATAACGACTCTATATAATAATATAAGAATAAAACACGGAGGACGGAGATCTCTTTTTCTCCCCCTCTTCTGACTTGATCAGAGCACGCTCCCCTCTCCTGCAGGGGGGCGTGGTCAGCTGCAGCTCACAGAATCAGCCCCCTGCAAAAACAGGGCTGGAGAACAGCAAATAGAGTGAAATGAGGCATGGCTAAAATGCATGATCTGTTTGGTATTTTGAAAACAGAAACGTATAAATACACCTTATATAGGTATGGCCCTACAATATATCATTTAAATATAGCATGATAGGTGTCCTTTAAATAAGTACTTTAATTGACGTCAGTGCACCCCGCTGCCTGATTGTGCCTGTGCTGTATGTCATTCATTCTCAACATAGATAAAAGTATAATAAGCATTCTTCAGGTGTAGGTAGATTCTCTATTCGGACATTATAGCCTATATGTGCGACTGTCGGTCCGATGTTGTAAAAAAAAAAAAAAAAAAAAAAAAAAATCTCAAAATATTTTTAGATTTTTTATTCTCAAAATGATGGGCCAAATATTATTGCTGGCGGGCCAACAATGGCCCGCGGGCCGCCTGTTGCCGACCCATGCTCTAGAGAGTGGCCCAGACCTTTATATATTTTTCTGTATGTGGCCCTCGGTGAAAACAGTTTGGACCCCCCTGTTCTAGACCAATGAGTGGTTACTTCCTGTAATGCAGCTGAGAGCTGTGGCAGGCAGTCGTAGTGTTTGCAGAGAAGATATGATGGGATGTAAAGCATGAGATCAGGACTCTGAAGCTAACTCAAAGAACAAACACTTATTTTAAACTGGATCTAAAACTGTTGGATTGTGTTCATCTCTACAGGATCTCAGGAGAGCCGTTCAGAACCACGATCTAGAAGACCTGTGAGTACTGAAACCATATCCTCCATTCATCAAGATATGAAACTCTTTAATGGAGCGTGACCTCAGAGGAAAACAACACTCTTCTTTCTCTCTTCATCATTCTGGCTGTTTCTCTTTGTTTTATCATCATCATCATTCTCTCTCTCTCTCCTTCTCCTCTCAGGTCACAGGAAGTGAAGACACAGAGAAAGGTGAGAGGTCGTACCGTGTGAAGTTTATTTATTGAGGTTTCAACACGGTTTTCTGGTGTTCCAGACAAATCTGTAAGCTCAGGTTTTATTTGTTCTCAGTTTATTCATCACGGAGCGAGTTTGAGACGTGAAGAGGAGCGTGGAGGCATTTTGGAAAATAAAGAAGAAGGCTGCAGCTGATGAGAGACTTCCTGTTGGCTCTCCTCAATATGAAATGAACAAAAACAATCAATTGTACTTAAAGCTTTTCTTAAGAAGAAAGATGTGTTGCTACCACCACCTCCCACCCATCCCGGCACCAAAGAGGAGACTCCATCGACCCCAGATACCCCAACTCACTCTTCTTCAGGTTAGCTTGGAGCCCCGACTTTACCTGCCCCAACACCTCACTTTGAACGATGTAGTCATCCGGATATCTGCATACTGAGTGGGACGCAGGACCCGGTCAATGAGCTGCTGGAAGGGGGTCCACTGGGGAGGACACCTATCTGCCATAGTTTTTCCACCTGACGACTGAGTTCGGCATCGGGGGTTCCAGTTGGAGTGAAGAGACTCTGGGGGGCATCCGATGGCTCCTGAATAGGGGGGGCCCTTGGAGTGTCCAACCTAATGATAATAATAATAATAATAATAATGCATTTGATTTGTAAAGCACCTTTAATTGCTAAAACTAATCTCAAAGTGCTACAAGGGGCATAATATACTTTTTTTTTTTTTTTTTAAAGAAACACAAGTTTATTAAAAGGCTTTAAAAAAAGAAAGGTTTTTAGGCCCTTCTTAAAGGAGTCCTCAGTTTGTCTGGGAGGGAATTCCACAGGTGAACGGAAAGCCCCCCCATGGTGCGGAGTTTGGTGCTGGGGGGGGGGGAAGCAGATGGTTGGTTGTAGAATGGAGGTTGCGTGTGGAGGTTTGTGAGGAGAGTAGTTCCTTGAGGTATGAAGGAGCGTTCCCGTGGATGCACTGATGGGTGAGGAGTGAGATCTTGTATTTGAACCTAGCTGGAGGGCTATTGGTAGAAGACTCTTTTGGTTGGGGTAATGAGGTGAAAGTTATCTGCACCTATTAGTAGGAGAGGCTGCACTTTGGGAAATGAGGGAAGGGGAAGGCCTTGTAGGCGGAGATAGTGTTTCTTGAGTTCATCCACAGGATAACTCTAGTCCACAAGTGAAAGTCTGTCGGAGGTGAATGTGTCTTTGATGAGGAATGTTTTCTTGGGATTGAAAGAGGGTTATATCTCAAAGGTCACTCAGGCTCCATTTCAGAATAATATATATGATATGTTTTATAATGATTGATCATTAAAGTGTTCTCAAAGCTGGTAAAGGTGCAGCTAGTTTGAATGACTTTGTATACTGCAGGGTAGCTTGTGAATTTACTCCAGGTGGAACTAAAGTCTGATTTAACACTTGATTATATTTCACATCATTCATCCACATCTGTAAAGTAACTAAAGGGAAATACATGTAGTGGAGTCAAAGTACACCTTGTACCTCTGAATTGTAGTGGAGTAGAAGTAGTACACAGTTGCATAAAAAGAAAACTAAGCTTCATCTCCAAGCCCAATGGCCTTGGAAGAGCTGCTAAGGAAAAGGAAAGACATCTGGAGAGACAGCTAACGGACAAACTCAAGGAACTGAAAGACACTCCCTAATAGGCCGTATGCTGTTTAGCCTTACCTTGAATGATTCAGTGCAGTGTTCTGTGCAGGTTTTCTGTTTGCTTTTTCAACTCAAGGACCTAAAAGACTGATTGAAAGTTTATTTGATTTGCATAATTTCTGATTGCTGATTCAATGTGAAGGAAAATTCACATTTGAGTTGATACAGTATATGTGTGCATATAATGCCCCCTTTGGCCTAACCTGGGAGAGCCTTATGTTCACTGCCAACCTAAGGACCTGAAACATGTTAATAAAGAATGTATTGAAAAGTTATATCGCGGATTGTTGTATATTGGCTCAGCCAGGTTATAGAGAACCGCAGTGACGCGTCCTAAAACCCGGAAGTAAACTTCTTCCGGTTCCTTCGACAAAAACGCAATTTCTCCATAGGATTTTGGAAAATAGCTCGAAATAAGGTCTGTGGTGGTTGAGACGCATTTAAGAGACGGATCACGATTTGTTCAGCCGGATAATATCCACATATCTACCCTACTTTTATAATGTTCTTATCATAAATCTGATCGATAGATTTATGATTAGAAAATTATAGGAGATGTGGATATTATCCGGCTGAACAAAACGTGATCCGTCTCTTAAATGTGTCTCAACCACCACAGACATTATTTCCAGCTATTTTCCAAAATCCTATGGAGAAATTGCATTGCGTTTTTGTCGAAGGAACCGGAAGAAGTTTACTTCCGGGTTTTAGGACGCGTCACTGCGGTTCTCTATATGGGAGGCCCAGTCTACTTACAGATGGGTCACTCATTTTGAAATATTACACTTTGTTTTATTTTTCTTTAATTCTTCATCCTCATGTAGAATGCTATCACGAAACACACATTTGGTTGTTTATAGCATAAAGAACATCTGATTTAATGTGAGGTAGGGAAATAATCATTTGAGGATAAGTATGTGTATATAAATATGTAATTTACAACAGCTGTAAGATGCTTGATAAGCTTGAAATGCACCTTGAAAATGCTTGAAAAGTGCTTGAATTTGACTTTGGAAAAGGTGTAAGAACCCTGTATATAAATTGTCCAAAGAGGTTGTATTCTACAGTTTGCCTGAATGTAATCATTGCGTAGGTGTGTAGTGTGATTCTGTGTAGTTCATTGATTTGACTTCAGGATTCCTGCATACACCCTGACTAACAGTTCTCTTAAATCTGTTTTATATAATTCTTCCTTTAAAAAGTGTATCAAATTAATGTAATCTATTGATTCGTGTTCACCAACATGATTTTCCCCTTTTGTTTTTTTCGTGTCACACAGAACGATTTTAAAAGCAATGTATTTCTATTAGTAGTGTGTTTCGTGCCTGCAACACGTCTTTTTGTCTGGTCGGGTCTTGGAATACCAGAAGCTGTGTGGTTCATAAAAACATTTTCTTACTCAATATCAAGCCACGATTATTGTTTTTATTTTAAATCGTATAATGTCGGACTTTTTTTGCCGTCCGCGAGGAAAATAAATGGGGCTCCGAGCCTCAGAATACTGAAATCTGTATTTTAAAAAAAAAAAAATTCCTTCTAATTTGTTATTATTTGGTAAAGGCACGAAACATACCAATAGAAATACATTGCTTCTAAAATCGTTCTGTGTCAGAATACTGAAATCTGTATTGTTTTACATATTTTTTTCCTTCCAATTTGTTATTTACATTGCTTTTAAAATCGTTCTGTGTGACACGAAAAAAAGGGGGAAATCGTGTTGGTGAACACAAATCAATAGATTCATTTCGTGACTATAACACGAAATGCCGTGAGACTGGGTTGGAATATAACACAACAAAACCTCATAAGATAATCTCGTTTTAGCATCAAATAATAACCACTGTTTTCTTTAGAGTTCCTAATACTTCCTATTTGAAATAAATTGCTAAGCATGATTTTAATACCTAAAATACAAGCACATAGTATTTATTGCAGCTTAGCTCAAATAACAATACAAAAACAACTTCATTCTATATTTCTTTAATTCTATTATAGCCGATAATACATAAGCGCAACATACAAAGAAGATACAAAAACACAGGATAGCTCAAGAGTTAGATCGAGACATGAATGTTTACAGAAGTGCAGAAACAAACATAAGACAAACAGCAAGTAGAAACATTTACACTCTAGAAGTTGAAATACATGGAAAAGGAAATACTGTGTAGCAAAGACAACACAAATAGATGCTCCTGAAAGCGTGGACAGTATAAAGATTTGTTTTTCTAAGCTCATTCACGCAAAAAAAATAATCAACCATTCAGCGCCTGGTGTTTCCCTACATTTAGTCCAGATCCGAAACATTTACATTTTCTGCATAGTAAATAAGAGAAATTCGCAACACATCTTAAACCAGCCTTTAAATAATAGTCTGGATCCTAAACTAGATAACTAACTTGCAGATCTAGTCGATGACGATCACCTCGCTGGAGGTTTTATTCAGCGGGGCGTTGCTCTCTAAAGCCTGGAGGATCTGTGCGGCTGTGGGTCTGTTCTTGGGGTTTTCCTCAGTGCACAGGTAGAAGAGCTCCACCATCCTCCGGTACGAGCTGCCGAGAGCCTCGAGGTCCACCGCCGGCCGCGTGCCCAACCTCTCGTAGAACGCGTCCTCGTCGAAACTGACCTCAATCGATATGTCTGAAACACAAACGCAACTGGTCTGAATGTAGCAGCCTAAAATGTCAAAAGAAAAATCAACCATTTTATCCACAGACGTTTCCAATTTTGGATAACCTTAAAGGTAGGGTAGGTAGGAATGGAGAAACCAGCTCGAGTGCGCTAGAATTTGAAAGTACAAAACTGGAAAAAATCTGCCCCTTCCTTACAGAGCCCCTCCTCCAACACACACGGACGAACACATGACCAATGAGGGCACGAGATTAGTTTGTGCACGAGATGGAAGGCTGACAGGCAGGTAGGCCATCCAGTTATTTTAGCCAGGCCGGCTCAGATGATTGGTCGTGCTTTTTACAGCGCCACGGCTTCCACAGATGATTTTTTTTAAATGTATTTATTGTCAAAGCATTTAAGATATTCATTGCTATCGGGATGTTAAGAGCATTCCATGGAATATAACAAAAAGTGTTTCTGAAGTGAATTACCTACCCCACCTTTAACCAAAATGTGACTGTATAATTTGAAGGTTAGAGATTAGAATGTACCGGCATTAAATGTAAAAAAAAATCAACCATAAGAAGCTTTTTATCCACAGACGTTCCCAATTTTCGATAACCTTAACCAAAATGTGTATAATTTGAAGAGACTGGAAGATCTGAATTTGACATTTTACTTGTGTGACTATAATGACATAGTATACTGTGACTTTTCATGCCATACTAAGACACAGAATTGTATAAAAAAAGCAGTTTAAAGTCATAGTATTGTTGTACTGTTGTAAAATAAAAACATAAAAAGTCACAGTATAAAGAAGATATTATTGCAGCTCAGCTCACGACAGATTTGTACCACTAAACCTACAATTGTCTTTAAAAGTCACAGTTTATGCCAACAGAAATACTAAGTAGTATGCCATAAAAATGTGATTCTCATATATTTAATAACAGCTATGAAGTATTTGTTTCCAATAAGCTACAAATGTGTATCTAATATGCATGGAAACAACATATTTCAGTAAAACAAGTCTAAAATGTACTAAAATGTGGCTCCTGAAGGAATTTGTGTTGACAAAGTGTGACATTCATGCTTCCTGAGGCCACAGAGCGTCTGTCTCACCTTCATCTTCCTCTTCATCGTCCTTTTCGTCGTCCTCACCCACCAGCATCTCCAGGTGAGGCATGGCCAGCGACATCATCTCCCACAGCGTCAGCCCGTATGCAAAGATGTCCGCCTTGTCCGTGATCTCTCCGTCCTCCAGAGCTTCCTTCGGTGTCCACGGCTCGGTGCCGATGTACTCCGCCTTCGGATCTGACACTGAGGAGAATGGAAAACACTATTCATGAAACCTGATTGGACATTTTGTCTATTCTACAGTACTGCAATACTACCCGGTACAAGTGTTTGTCAACTGCTTTAAAATCAAAACTGCTCCACCTGTTTAAAA